AATAATAATAATAATAATAATAATTAAATACATAAAAGTTGATGAAAACTTAATAATAAAATAAATAAATGAACATTGTTTTAAATTATTGACTGCAGGGTGAATTTGTTGTAATAGTGAGTTATAATAATGAGTGTAGTGAAAACCAGCTGAGTGACATTTGGCACTATAGACAGAGCAGGCATCAATCCARCTATCCGAGGTATTACAGAAGAGGGAGGAACACAACATTTAATGATGCTGTTTGCAGATGATGTGCTGATATTTTTGCAAGACCCAGAACACTGGATCCCTGAAGTGATGAGGTTAGGGTTTGTTTTAAGGAGTTTGGTCCAGTCTCAGGTTATAAAGTCCATGAGTCTGATGCTATCTGGAACCTGGCCCACTCAGCTAAATGGCTTGGTCTCCTTCTGACGTTGTAACCAGGGCTTTAGCTACCATACAATACACAACTCTTTAACTCAAATTACAGTAAATAAGACAAATTAAAGCAGACCTATTGAAATGGGTGGTTTGTGTCAGTGTGGGTCAGTGTTTAGGAAGAAACAGGTAATATTACCTGAGCCATGTCCATTGTTGCTAATAAACATTCTCTACCATCTGTTTGGGACAATATAAGATGTAGTTTGTAACTTTTCTTCTCAATGACGTCTTTTCTTCCTSAGTAATTTTCAACCTTTTTTGTGTTTATGTTTCTGAAGCCTGAAGAAACGTTTCAGTGACCCGGAGGAGCAGGAATAGTATGTTTGTTTGTTTGTTTGTTTTTTTCTTAACATCTTCGTCTTCTGTTTTTATTAACAGGATGCTTCTCTCTGATTGGTGGATTAACAGCCTATCAGTGCTTTTGTTTGTGCTTTTTAACTTTTTGTTGTGGCACTAACCACCCTTGCTATTGCACCGTGACTCAGTGTGTTAGCGGTAGCAGCTAACAGATGCTAACGGTTTTCTCCATGTTCAACTCAGCCGAAGACGTGACAGAGATAACTATGAGCCGGTGAAAAGGTAACAGCTGTTTCGTCTGTAGCTCAGAGTCTGGTGAACCCTGTGATGTGGTAGAGAACCAGTTAACCAGTTAACTAGCCTGTGTACTGTTAGCCTAGCTTAACACAAAAACTGATAATACAGGAAGATTTTAGCCTAGCTTAGCACAAAGGCTGGAAACAGAGGAAGATGTTAGCCTAGTTTAGCAGAAAGGCTGGAAATAGGAGAAAGATGTTAGCCTAGCTTAGCGCAAAGGCTGGAAACAGAGGAAGATAGCCTAGCTTAGCACAAAACTAAAAAAAAAGGTGATAGCCTAGCTTAGCACAAAGCCTGACAACAGCCTGTATACTAACGTCAGCCTACATGCTAATGTTAGCCTGTATGCTAACATTAGCCTGTTTGCTAACAGCACATGAAACCAGCATCGTGCAGAAACCGTCACACAACAAAATGAAATGAATCAGTAAAAAAAGCACCTGTCTCCTGATGACTCACGTCTGGAAGGCTGCGTAAGGCAGCACTCAGTCCAGGGAGGTTCAGTGGGATCAGCGTCTTCTTCCTGGTCCACTTTAATCAAGCTGTACGACCCCAGAACCAGTGGAGGTTTGAAAGCTGTGTTGCATCCACTTCCTGTTAGCTCTCTCTGTGATCTGTCATTCACAGAGGTCAAAGGTCAGAGCGGCTACATGCTAACAGCTAACTGCTTCCTGTCTGTGTCCACAGCGTTGCCTCAGCCATGCACTCAGAGACTCCCGACCGGTACGAACGCCTCACCTCGGTGTCCAGCTCAGTCGACTTTGACCAGAGAGACAATGTAAGGACATCTTCATCACTTCCCTTCCTCCTCTTCCTCTTCATGTCCTGTCCTTTGAAGCTGGTTTCCTGCTGACCCTCAGACTGCTTGTTGGCTCACCTGTCGGTTAAAGTCTGTCATGTCTGGATCGGTGCTTTAATCTGCTTCCTGTTTCTCCTTCAGGGTTTCTGCTCGTGGCTCACGGCCATTTTCAGAATAAAGTGAGTCTGTCTTTCAGGAGTGTTTGATCTCTTTGCTCCGTGTGCTGCTGAGTCTGGTCTCATCATCTGGCTTCCTGCTGCAGGGACGAGGAGATCCGGGAGAAGTGTGGCGAGGACGCCGTGCACTACCTGTCGTTCCAGCGGCACATCATCGGCCTGCTGGTGGTCGTCGGCGTTCTGTCCGTCGGGATCATTCTGCCTGTGAACTTCTCCGGAGACCTGCTGGGTAAGATCTTTAGCTGAGGTCAGYTGAGACCTGCAGGCGGACTGCGGTCAGCAGGACTCGTCTCACAGTGTTCTGTGTCTGATTGGTTCCAGTCAGAATTATCAATAAAGATGCGTTCCTGAGCCAAGGAGCTCCTGGACCTCCTTCCAAAGAAGGTAAAGGTGGCAGAGCTGTAGGAGCTCTGGACTCTGATAGACCTGTGTCTGGTGGTTTTAGCTGGACCTGTACTCAGTCTGATCCGGTCTCTAGAAGCAGTTTAAATGTTGTTGTGCTCAGTAGAACCAGTTCTGGTAAGGTTTTAGTCCAGAACTATCCCTTGGTGACTGGATCAGGTTCCTAAGAGTTTCAGGACTGATTCAGTCTTCTCTGAGGGTCATTTTCCAGGTAGGTGGACCAACAGACCCCACAAGACCTGATTTTAGTTATTTATTAACCTGTTTGGTTCCAACAGCAGCTGGACCTGCACTGTGCATCATAACAAATTTATTTGATTTATTTGTCTTATTTCTTCCAGAAAACAACGCCTACAGCTTTGGACGCACCACAATAGCCAACCTGAAGTCTGGGTGAGTCAGACAACACCTGCTGCTTCCTTCATTTAACTTTGTACATTTAATTTACTGCTTCTGGTGGACGTCGGTCGTTGAGCTAATGTCTCAATAAATTCATTAAAACAGCAGAAAAAAATCATTTGAGTCAGTGGCAAACATGAGGTCACTGAATATGTCCAATGCCATTCATGACACCCTATAAAGGCAGAGAATCTCATTAGGAAGATGTTAGCCTAGCTTAGCATAAAGACTGAAAACAGAGGGAGATGTTAGCCTAGCTTAGCATAAAGACTGAAAACAGAGGGAGATGTTAGCCTA